TCAGAGGTATTCAAATTTTTAACCACGCTACCAAAGTGCCAATGACTGATTTCACCCAGGGATAGCTTGCATAGAGGTTCGTGAAATAATAAGGGAAGTACATAATAGTTCGGCTGACTGTAATTGACATTTTAGTTTCCTCAAAGAAAAGGAGTTAGTTAAACTCACTCTACCTAGAGCGAGGGCAAGTGAGTTTGCTTAGGGGTTGGTACAGGTGGTTTATGAGGGTTTGTGTAGACTACGTTTATCTAGGTTAAGATATGTTAGCCAATATCTGCTTGCAAACCTCATTTTTTTTATAGAAAAACATTTGACTAAACTCGTTCTACCCAAGGTTAGGCGGGTTAGCCTGCTTTGGGGTTGGTAGGGGTGGTTTGTAAGGGTTGTAAGGGTTTGGAATAATAATTTTTGTTAGGATTAAGGTCGGTTAGCTTATCTATGGTGTGTACCTTAGTTTTCTTGAAGGATAGTAGTTGATTGAAGTCGCTTGATAAAAAATTTCTCGTCGATACGTTCATTGTCGTATGTTCTGAGAGGTACAATAGTCATGAAATTGAAAAATTTTTAAATGCAATATCTCAAAGAAAAATTAAGCTATTCAAGCAAACTTAATGGCATTCGAATGGGCTAGGCTGCTACTTTAAGATGCCGTATGTAGTTTTTTGTGTATAGAGAATATCGTAGTGCTACATAACCTCAAAAACGGCCAAAAATGCCTATTTTTGCACTTTTAGGTTAGGATAACTTAAAATCTTGACGTGCTGGAGGAATTCTGAGGCCAGATTCGGTTTCAGTGCCAAAAATTCTTCGGGAATCTCTATATGGTTTGCTTGTGCAAAAAAATAAGCTATTTTTGTAGAACTGTGTTATAAGAACGTTTTGTTATTTTATTCTCCTTCTAGACTTTCTCCCAAAAAGAGTTTCGCCGTTTTCCGATCTATTTCTAAAGCATGTATCCGCTGTGTCCTACGGCTTTGCAGATTTCGTAAAAGTTTTCTATCTCTCGTTTTTTTTCTAATAATTGATTGCAGGTGGTAATAGAATACCCTTAAGTGTGTCAGACCTTGCAGAATTTGTTGGTGGTTTCTGATTTATAATTAATCACAGCCTTTAATTTTCTATAGTTGTCTACTGTATGAGCGGGGCTTTTATAATATTTGCAAATTTTTTTTGAAATCTATCAAATTTTATGTTCCTTGTATTTGATTGTATATGCAGCCTGTTTTCTTACAGAAAAGTTTTTTGTGTTGAAAGTCCCTCAAAATTGACAGATCGATATTCTAGTTGGTTTTTCCTGTCTGTCTCTGTCAGGCATATAAGTGTTGATAATGGCCAGTTTTTCTAGTGCTTTCTTTCTTTTGATATCGTTTTCTATTTCAATAGCTTTCAGTGATATTATATTTACTGTATTTTCGCGGCCTAGTTCATATTTGATTTCTGGTATAAGTCCTTTTTTAAAACTTATAGTATCATCATCATTTAAATTATCAAAAAATACTCTTTGGTTTCTGTTGATTTACATTCTGATTTTTTTAGTTGTTTTATATTCTTTACTAGTTCTCTCAATCTGTTGGTATATTGTACTACTGTCCCGTTCTCTCTTTCAGTAATCTTGTGAAGCTTTGCGTATAGCTCGTGGATGTCGTCTTCTATTGGATATAGAGGCCTTATTCCGGTTATTAAATCATTTATGGTATTTATACTTGTGCAGTTGAGTGCATCGCCTACCTCTCCTTTCATTCTTACTTTTAGAAAGTTTGTGAGGTTTGCTTCGTTTACGCCATCGATTAGATTTCTTACTTGCTTTTAATTTTTTTATGTATTCTGTGGTTGACATATATTTTCCGTTGTACTCAGGGACATAATTTGTAACATCATTCAAATATAATTTCATTGGTTTTGCTGATAGTGATTCCTCCACCACGTTAGTGTATAGTGTCTTGCTAATTTTAATCGTGTCGTTTCTAGAGATACATGGCTTATTTCCGTTTAAAATAAGATCTATTAGGTTATCTTAGTTGTAATAGTTGTTTCTCGGAGTCCCTGGGATTAAGTTATGTTCTGTTATACGTATATTTTTCAGTATCTGAATATTTTTCACTGATTTCGAGGTCGAATATTGTATTGGATTCGTAAGGTGGAGTACTGTATATTTGTTTAGATGAATTTACTTTCAGGTTTTTTCTTATTACGGGTTTTTGAATCTTCTTGACTAGTTAATTCGGTATTGTTTACTTCTTTTTGCTGAGTTTTTATTGGTGATCTTTGTAGTTTTGAACTGTTTTTGAACATGCTTTCTTCTAATACTATTTTGGTTTCTAAGCTCTGGGTTTTTGTTTACTTGTTGACGAGTAAGTTTGATTTGATTTGCTGATTTGTTGTCCGCTTTTCTTTTATTATTCATTTGAACATTTCCTCAAATTGATCTGTAAACGTTGAGCTTATATTTTCAGTGACCTTGTTATTGTATTTCTTAGAAGCATAGTGTTGTGTCTTTTTTTGCCAGCGTTGCCTTTTTATGTGGGTTGTTCGTCTCTACGGCTTTTAATTAAGATTGTTATCGCGCTTTCTATTGAGTGTGAAATTCCGTAGGTCATTGAACTCAAACCGACTGAAATATAGGTGATACTGATATCTTCTAGTTTATCGAACTTGCTGTATTAATTGCGGATGTCATACTTCGTATAGTATAACTTTTGATTTATAATTCGTATATAATGAAAAAGTTGAAGCTATGATTTCTTAGTTTATGCTTGTTTTATTTCAGGAGCTACGATTTTTAGGTTTATGCTCATTTATTTTTATTCTTTGGTGCTGCAAACGTTATTTAATTTTAATTCATCGTAATTTACAGAGTAAGACATTTGCTTGTCACATATCTGTTTGTGACGAAATTTCATGATATTGCAATGATTTTCTGCTGACGCGTACAGAATTTGAGTTTCTTTAAAAGCTTGAGTTACAGAACTTTATATTGAAAGTTGAGAAACTTCGTAAAACGTAACATATTGCTTAAAATAGAACTTACTTCTACTCTTAAAATGTTACATGATTGTTTAGCAATATAACAATAATTTTGGGCGTTAATAGTTGGAATATTACATGTCCATAGAAGATCTTTTGAAATTTTTAATTGTTTGCATAAAACTCTGTATTTTACATTACGTAATACAGAGTGAATCACAAGTAGATGTGAAATGACTTGAATCGATCCAGCAGTTGTTAGAATTGTAGAGTTATATCTCTTGTCTGTTCTACTATAATTATAAGAATAAAATAATTTATGCTTATAAATAAATCGATTATAATATTTATACTTCCTTACTGCTGGTTATTTTAAAAATTTTTCTATGACATTTTTCTAAATTAGAGCTAGTGTATAACTTTTTGGTTTTCCAAAAGCATTCAGATTATCAGCCTATGCAGATATTTACCTTGCATTCATTTGTCATATTTAAAAATAAATATCAAACATCCGGGTTCACTTCATCGCTGCTAAAGATATAAGAATTATTCCTTATACATAGTAACCTGCTGAACTTTATTTCTATCTAAAGAGGTACGAATAGATAAGGGAAATTAGCCCGCGGAGAATGTCGTGAGCTACGCGTTAAAAGCGTTTGATAACCTAAAGGAACGTCATTACGAACAACAACGTGAGGGAAAAGCAGAAGTGAGAATTAAATATCACGCGTAAACCTTAAGGTGAACAGGCAGATTTATTTAACAAAAGAAAATAAACAAAACAAAAAATTAGAATTAATAACTTTCGGCACATAAAGAAATGCAGCACATGCGTCGCGCAGGTTGATGCAACGTAAACACTCAAGCAGTCGTGCACCCACTAAAATAGGTACTGCATACTGCCTCGTAAGCAGATGCAGTGTAAACGCACGCGTTGTAAGCTGCAACGAACAATGGCGGCAAGCAAACCGGTACACTGTATATGAATGAGTAAGCGGATCTACTTAATCTCATTGTAATCGCGAAATGCAACGTCGTGAATATCGAGTCGCCGCAGCATTAATACGCAATACAAGAGAGAGCAGAATAAGGTTAACAAGCAATTAGTTAACAACAAAAATAAGAAAAGAAAGAAAAACAAATTAACTAGAGCAGAAAGATGGAAAGAGAAAGCCAACTCATAAGTTGGTACTTACAGCTATTCGTTGCTCGTCCGATTTCTACTAGTACGCACGCTTTATACAATATTATGCTTTCTTGGCGCTAGCATTATCGTCTTTGTAATAATATAGTATAATCGCCTCTCTTTATGTAATAATCCCATAAACGCAGAACTCTACTCATTTGATTTTTATCGCTTCTATCTTGAAGTCATGGGCACTCTCTTTCGTTGTCTAAACTTGCGTCTCAAACTAGTTATGAATGTTAACCGTACCTATTCTCTCTTTCTCCTCGCGATAATCGCTTCTCTAGGAAGACCGCATCGCGTATTTACAATTGATAGTCGATCGAAGAGTTCGTCACTTATCAGTTAGCTGACATTTACTCTACGCTATAGACACTCTTACAAATTATTACATGTAAATTATCATAAATATTTAAATGACTGGCTTCGGAGAGCGAAAGACATAACGAGCAACAAACCGCTTGTTATAACTATAGCTACTCCGTGAGTCAGACGTATATTTCCTTCTTCTTTACTGCTGAATGCGAATGTTTCTCTCTCTTTTCTTACGAAGACTCAAATTATACGCATAGTTCGATCGTTTAGTCACCACGCGCTAATCAGGGACAAAACAACTTATTGTGACAATAGATAGAAGAAAATTTCTGAATCTTCTTTCTAATCTCTGACTCAAGAAGATTCATTTGATGCTGCATAAATTATCAAAAATGTTACGGAAGAATCTGTCAAAGAATACGACATATTTTTTATTATAAAAATATTGAGCACTCTTGGAAGTTAATGTAATTGTATATATACTATGATAGTTTTGTAATTTAAGTGATTTAATATAATTTATTTAATTTTACAGATATCAGCACCTCAAGAGCGTTTATACAGTACTTGGATAGGTGGTTCTATACTAGCATCATTAGATACATTCAAAAAAATGTGGGTCAGTAAACGTGAATACGATGAAGAAGGGCGACGAGCAATTCACCGTAAAACTTTCTAATATAGAATCCTATAGTATAGCTACACGTGACTTACTTTTTATATATTTATGAATAAAATATAATAAAAAAATTATTGATATAATATGAAGTTTGATTAAAAAGTATCAGAATATAACCCCGATATGAAAATTCTGATTGGTTTATTGTTAATTGAATAAACATTTAAATAATATTACGATTGTTTATATAAATTTATCTTTTCGGTAATCATAAATTATATTTTGAATTAATATTGTATTTGAATTTTGTTAAGCAGTAAAATAGATAATACTTTATATAATTTACATGAAAAATCTGCTGATCTCACGATTAATGATTATTTTGTTAGAATGAACTTAACCTAGTGGTCACTATCAATTCATAGTCTAGGATTTATAAGCATAAAAAGCTCGATAAATATGATCTGTTACATCTAAAATCGCAAGATAGCAAGAGATTCCCTTATTGTGGTATCACGAAAATCGTGCAGAAGCCAACGAAAAAGAAACCGTTCCAGATCTGTGTGATTCCCTCCATATATTGCAATGATTAATGTTACATCCGCGCTCTCACCTCATTAGGACGACTGCCCGCGATGGGCAGCACCTGCCGGATATGAGTTGAGGGCGAACTCTACGCGGGAAGAGTGAGACAGAGATAGCGAAAAGACGAGAGTCTACGATAGCTGCTCGCGCCGGACGGTTGTGGCCCTTACGGAGCGCGAATGTTTCCTCGCGTTTGAAGAGTGTGCAGCAGTTTTGCGAAGGACATTAGCTAAGAAGAGAAGGGCATACTGAGAGGACGTGCGCAAGGGATACGGCGAACGTCCAACTCGACATCGGCAACTTCTCCAGCGAGACCGGGATACAAAGCGAGGTTAATCTGAGCGACGACATAATTAAAAGCTGTTCTCGTAGAGTAAATTAGCCAGCTTTGCGTTAATAGCGATCGCGCGCGTATTGCGTTATAGTGGGAGCGATTAAGAGCGACTCATGTGCGGCAGCGAATAAGATGGTGGCGCCCCCAAATAGGCTACGTGTAGCAAATAGATACATGTAGCACGATAGCAGCGCAGGGCAGAAGATTGTAAGTGTATCGCGTAACAATAAAGGACGCCTTACAAGGAAAGGTACCCAACCCGAACTCACCGATTTTGATGATTTTGATACATATTGTAGAACATAAAAAAATAAGAGACACGTATTTTTTTATCCGCTAATTTTTACTTTTAAGGGGTAAAAACCTCTCTTAAAGTTAACCCCCAAAAAGCGTTTTTTTTTAATATCTCGGCTTAAAATTAATATTTTTCAGTGAAACAAATTGGAGGTTATTTCTTACAAAACGAACAAGTATTTCATGGTGATTTGAAGAGTAAGGGTAGCATCCCTTATTTTTTAGGTTGAAAACATATATTTTTTGGCATAATTTTATAATAAAAAAATTTAAACCGACTAAAAAAAATTGGAAAAAATGTTTAAACATCCATAATAAAAAAATTTAGTTGACGTCTTTCAGTGTTTCAATAAATATTACCCCTAAGGGGGGTAAACCACTCCTAACACAAAATAACTATAAATATGTCATTCAATACATAATATTTCGTAGAAAGTTTGTATATAGAGGTTTTCGAGGTCGCTGATTACAAATCTGTTATCAGATTTTGAAAATTTAGAATGGCGGAACCAATATGGCGGACGGAAATATCGAAAAAAAAATTTTATATAATAAAAAAGTTTTAAACGACTAAAAAAATTGGAAAAAATTTGTAAACATCTATAATAAACAAATTAATTTTTTGGTTTTTTCATAGATACTATCCCTAAGGAGGGGTAAACCGCCCCTAACACAAAATAACTATAAGTATACTTCAATCCATAATATTTTGTAGAAGGTTGTAACAGGCTGCCGTTTAGCCTACAATATCTCTTGAACGTACCTATATAATGACTAAACGACGCCTAGTTATCTATGTGCTCGAAGCACATCAACCTACCTTGTCTTGGAGTGCGCCTGCGCAGAGTCTCTTCGCTACTCCGAGTTGGGTTCCCCCAACTCGCCGCTTGGCGGCGCTGTCGCCCTTGCTTAGTAGCGCTCGCGCGGCCGCTGCTGGGAACTATGTTAACGATTCCTGTCTACCGGTATTCGCGTGATCCGTGCTACGCTACCGGCTTATTTGAATCAAAAACAAATAGACGCGACCTCCGGACAAAGGAAAGACAAAATAACGATAACTTGATTTAATGATAATGATTGACCGATTTATTCAATTAAATCAAATACACGGGGGATTTGCCGAGAGTCTTGCGCACGCTAGCACGAATGACAATATACGCTGTATGAGAGAGAGAGAAAACCGCGATCGCCGCGAACTAACCGCTCGCACGCAACAATTAATCTCTTCGCGCACGCTGCGCGGGATCGCACGCTGTTAACAATAATGGGAAGGTGCACCTACCGCGGGATAGTTGAGGATACGGTGGCCAACCGTATCCGAAGTACGCGTCGCTAATTTGCTGCTCCGCTACTCGCCGCACTCCGCTGTTATTGCTGCTGTTGTTGTTGCTGCTACGGTTGCTGCTACTGCTGTTGTTGCTGTTGCTGTTGCTGCTGTTGCTGCTATTGCTGCTGCTGTTGTTGCTGCTATTGCTGCTGCGCCCCACGCACTCAGCACCCCGCACTCAAGTTCGCGATGTTCAACCTCGCACCACCACAAGAAACGCGTTGAAGGCACGGAAGAAGGTTAGCTACGATGCAGGCGGACTGAGTGACACAGTCATACTGCCTGTTGAACTCTCCCCTCCGGGTCATTGCCCCCACGCGCCCTCTCTCTCTCGATCGCGGCTCCTCTCGTTCAGCCGCTTATTAACCTCGCGCGAGTCGAACGATTTTCGATAATCGTTGCAAGGTTTATATATAGGGGTTTTCGAGATCGCTCTTTAGAAATCTGGTATCCCGATTTTGAAAATTCAAAATGGCAGAACCAATGTGGTGGACGAAAATGTCGAAAAAAAATTTTAACTTTCATAAAAACTTGTTTACAAATGTGTGATCTTTGTAGCCTGTAAATCCGCATACAAATTTTCGAGACCAACCCTTGGTATACACGATTTAACGTCATCGACAAACGCTTCAGCTTTAGCCGTAAGTTCTGCACTACTTTCTAGCGTTTTTCTTGTTATGAACTTATTTATTTTCCTAGAAACTATTCTGTGTGCTTGCTTAAATTTGAGTAACCAATGTTTAGAAGCTTTGAATCTAATATCATCAAAACCAATTTCTTTATTAGCTTGTAAGGCCCATCGAATTATATCTTCATCATGGATAATTGAACCACTGTCGACAACTGCTTTAAAATTATCCAGGGTATACTGACAAATTTGTGCTACTTTTTCTCTATACGTGCCACCTTTATTAATTGAATGAGCCCAACGACGTAGTTGACTAATAGATGATACTTTTTTGAATCTGTTTTGCACTGTTTTGAGACTTAAATTTTGCTTCGTTTTGCTACTTCTCCAAAAATCTACAGCTCTTTTTTTGTATTCAAAATCTAGTTCTTCATTATCTGCTGTACATTGATTTGTTGGTGCTATATTCGGATCAGGAAACTGATGTTGCACTTCATCCTCAATTATTTTCGCATTACGGTCTTTATACTCTTCTTGAAAATCCCAAGAGTAATCAGTAATCATTTCTACATAGTTGAAATCATGTGTTGCATCTATTAAAATTTCTTTTATTTTTTCGGCCAACTCTGTTTCATGATAATTCGTGACGCTATCTGGTATGTTTAACGCTTGAAAGTATGCTAATAATAAGTTTAGAATGCTTAAGAGATTAATTTTCATTTTTCAATCTGAAATAAAAACAAGCAGTAAAATTTATACAAGCTGTGTTTTTTCATGTAAGGCACTACTGCTACATTTCTACCAGAATAAAACGAGTGAATGTAAATTGAATCAAATCATTAATTTATGCATTGGAGAAGAATTCTCCTTCCACTTTGTGATGTTCGGACAACTCTATTTTTGGTTCACTTTATAGACTGATAAAACATTTTCATTTGAAAGGCCTTACACCGAAAGAAGTTACAGTTGAGTTAAACGCCGTTCATAGCAAGTCCGCCCCTATGTTTAAGACTGTTTATAACTGGGTAAATGAATTTAAACGCGGCCGTATAACAACAAAAGATGAACCTCGTTCAGGACGCCCCGTAGAAGTGAGTACACCCGAAATGGTCAATAAAATCCACGATATGGTGTTGAGTGATAGAAGATTAAAATTACGAGAATTAGTTTAGGCCACAGGGGTGTCAAAGGGTACAATCATTTCAATTTTGCTATACTACTAATAAAGAAAATAGAGCGAACAAGTGTGAACCGGCAGAACGACCTAGACAATTCGATAATCAGGTCACGAGAGTTACTTGTTGGACCGAGGGCGCACCGACTGCTATTACTGAGGATGAGATCTTTCGTCTGTGGATACTCGGCTGCTTCCAGCAGCTTCCTTCGTCTACTATCATTAGGCGAATAAAGAGCCGAGGACGCCCGCCAGCGGTCAGCAGACCATCGCCTGTGATTCCACGAGCTCCACTGCCAGTGAAGCTACGTTTCCGATGACAGCGGCTCTCCACCAGCAAGCCACGGACGGAGTTGTCCGGTGGGTCGCACAAAAATATTTTCTCGCTAACTCTCGCCCGCACCAGCTCTCGCTCGGTGCATCGCCACGATTTTGTATTTGTCGTGCTAAGTTAGTTGAGTGAATGCGCTCTTAAACTTTGCTTATTCGTCGCATCTATATAGTAGAGCGAATGCGCTCCTAACTTTCGCCTGTTTGTCGCGTCTGAACGGTTTGAGTGTGTGCGCTTACCATTATTATATTAGATATAGTTCCGTGTATTGTATCGGTGGCATTAGCGTAATAAAGAGATCGCCTTTTGTAATAATACCGGGTGGCTTCCTTCACCTTTCTTGTCATCGCGTTAGATTCGCGCTCGTGGGAGTTTGCGCCGACTCCATTTACCGAAATAGAGCCCACATTAAATTGCAGGGGCGCAGCATTGGTGTAATAAGCTGAGAAATAATTTCCCCCTTTGCATTATAAACACAAGATAGTATGCATATAGGAGTTTATATGAAA